GAATATCCACAGAAAATATTATAGGGGATCCAAACGAAGGTATGAAACCAGAGCTGCCATAAAAAAGAAAGCAAATGTTGCTCTGATCTCTCAAATAGAGCCCAAAAAGGTAGAGGAAGCATGAAGGATTCGAGCTGGGTGAAAGCCATGCAAGAGGAACTAGATCAATTCAGCAAGAATCAAGTTTGGAAGTTAATGCCCAGACCCGATAATGTATCTGTCATCGGAACAAAATGTGTATTTAGAAATAAATTGAACAAAGGGGGACAAGTCATAAGGAACAAGGCTAGATTAGTCGCTCAAGGCTATTCACAACAAGAAGGAGTCGACTATGATAAAACCTTTGCCCCAGTAGCTCGACTGGAGTCTATACGAATCCTGCTAGCTTACGCATAATTTAAAGGATTCAGGTAGTTTCAAATGGATGTAAAAAGCGCTTATCTGAATGGATTCATCGAAGAGGAAGTTTTTGTAAAACAACCTCCAGGTTTTGAAGACTCAAAATTCCCATATCATGTGTACAAGCTTACTAAGGACCTATATGGACTGAAACAGGCTCCACGTGCATGGTATGACAGGTTAAGTACTTTCCTTGTTGATCATGGGTTTACTAGAGGTAAAATTGATACTACTCTATTCATTAAATGATCAACAGAAGGTAATCTTATCATTCAAATTTATGTTGATGACATTATCTTTGGGTTAGTGTAACTCTCTTATTGTGCAAGGAATTTGCAAACCTCATGCAAAGCGAGTTCGAAATGAGCATATGGGGTGAACTCACATTTTTTCTTGGGCTTCAAATTCAACAAACCGAAGAAGGAACCTTCATTTGTCACACTAAATATACAAAGAAGTTGATCCAGAAATTTGGTATGAGCAATGCAAAAATCAATTGGCACGCCTAATGAGGTCCGGCTACAAATTTTGGATAAGATGAATAGGGTTACTCCCAGTTGATGAAACCAAATACAGAGGAATGATTGGATCAACTACTGTATCTGACCGCAAGTCGACCAGATAATAATGTTCAGCGTTTGTCAATGCGCCAGGTTTCAGTCGGCTCCCAAGGAGTCACATCTGACTGCTGTAAAAAGAATTATTCGATATCTCATTGGCACAGTATCTCATGGATTATGGTATCCTCTATCTAACTCGTTTAAATTAGAAGGTTTCTCAGATGCAGATTTAGCAGGTGATAAGGAAGATAGGAAAAGCACGAGTGGCACTTGTCAATTACTAGGAAAGGCTTTAATATCCTGGAACAGTAAAAAGCAAGCATTAGTCGCCTTGTCCACTACTGAAGCTGAGTATATTGCCATTGGTCAATGTTATGCACAACTCCTATAGATGTCTCATCAATTGGGTAACTATGAACTTTCTTTTAAACCTATACAAATCTTTTGTGATAATTCAAGTGCAATTTGTCTTTCAGAAAATCCTGTGCATCACTCTAGAGCAAAGCATATGTACATTAAGCATCATTTTATTAGAGATCATGTTCTTAAGGGTGACATAGAATTAGCTTTTGTTGGCACTTCTGCCTAATTAGCTGATATTTTTACTAAACCTTTGTTGGAAGAAAGATTTTGCCTTTTGAGAAAATTACTTGGGATAATTTGTTTTTCAAAAAACTCTTAGGACATAATTGTTGTTTTTCAAAAACTTGTCATAATTACTACTTTTCAGTGCATTAATTACGCTTTCAATTCCTTCCCTCTCTTTTTTATTCTGTTTCACATCAGTTCTGGTCGAAGATGGAAAGCCAATCATCACATCGTTTGCGGAAAATCCCTCTGAAACCCTTCTAAATCAATTGGGGCCTAGTGATGTAAGTTTTGAAACTCGGGTTCTCGCCCACATTGTTGCAACCACTTTTCTCTCCAGAACTGGTTCCTTCTCCACCTTCTCTCAAAGGGACACTTTCTTTGTCTATTGTCTCATCACCAAACTCAAACTCAAGCTATCCTCCTGGGTCATAAATTTTATGATTGAGAGTGCTGAAGATCCCACCAATTTACCTTTTGGTATGGCCATTACCCACATTCTAGAAGCCCATCAAATCCCTCTTTCTGACTACCCTTTTGTCTGTGTTTCCAAGTCCTACAATTCTAGAGCATTCTCTAGTATGGGGTATGTGAGTGTCAAGGGTGCCTGGGTTAAGAAGGGTGAGAGTGAAGCAAAACAGACCCCTCTAGATTCCAAGCCTTCATCTGCTGTTCTGCCACCTCTTATTAGTTCTGACCTAAGTGAGAAGCTAAGCTCCATTGACTCCCTACTCTTAGCCATCAAGACTCTCCTGTCTGCTACTCAGTCGACTGTGGGTGCTATTCATGCTATTTCAAAGGAAACTGGGTCTGATGTGTCTAAAATCAGAGTGGCTGTGCAAAGGGTAAGGGAGAATGCGGCTAAAGCCTTCAAGGAGTTTCATGACAGGCTAGATGGAATGAGCATTGCTGCAAACACCAGCTTTGAACAGTTGAAGGAGGCGGTCTGCAACACTCTTACTTACTTCCTGCATCGCTAGTGTGGATGTGTTTTACAGACAATTTTTGTTTCAAACTTGTTTTGGCTTTGTTTTGGGCTGTGCCCTTGGATGTTTTCTTGCCTGTGTGGATAGTTTTTTATTTTGCTTACTAATCCCTCTTTGCTGATGTCAAAAAGGGGGAGAATGTATATCTCTTTGGACTATTATGACAATCTGTGCAGGTTCAAGTTGACTATGCATAGACCTCTTTGGTCTATAATGATAATATGTGCATGTTCAAGTCGACGATGCTAAATGCATAGATGGTATTCTTTATTCTTTGAACAGGTTAAGTCGACTATGCTACATGCATAGACTTTATATGTATTGCACAGGAACAAGTCAACTATACAGGATACAGGTACAAGTCGACTGCACACATTGAGTGGGAGACTAAGTCCAGTTGACTACACACATTGAGGGGGAGCCAAGTCGGCTAGTAACAAACAGGGAAGTCAGCTGTTGTTTACTTCCTTACATCTACGTATATTATTTTGCCATCATCAAAAAGGGGGAGATTTTTAGATCATATTTTAATGATGCAATTAATATACATGTGCAGGAGTTCAAAGAAGTAAAGAAGAACTAGTGAAATGGATGTGTCGAACAAGGAAGGAAATCTCTCACAAGGGAAGCCACCTATAGAACGCACGGTGTACAAGGAAAGCTACAAATCTATATCAGCAAATCAGGATTAGCTCCGTGAATCTGGGAATCAAATCAGCCATAACGAAGTGAAGATTCGAAGTGATCTGTGAATGGCGAAATGACGGGAGAATAATAAAGGCTAGAAGATCTGGTCAGTGGTCAAGTTTGGAAGGTCCAACAATCAAGGAGAAATCTTGTTAATCCCATTGTCTGCCGAAGGAAAAGATCTCAAGAGAAGCAACGGATAGTTCCTTATTCTTGGAAATAATCAATTCTTTCCAAGGATCAAAATCCTTGGGTTGACGAGCCTTCACCATTCATCTTTGTATAAATGTACTGTGTAACATCATCCTTAATATACTTTGATCGAACCAAAATAACTCTATTCATTCTACTGCAAACAAGCATAGTAGCCTACACAGATCTGCTGTGTAATAAGTCAGGGATAGAAAGAGGGCATACAACTGGTGAGGCATTGTATCAAACGAGTGCTAGAGAATCTGAGCGATATACATCACATCTGTACTCGAAAGAAAACTCATTTGCTTGAAGAGAAATCCCTTACAACCCAAGGGGACTGGATTAGGATTCACATTGAATCCGAACCAGTATAAAATTCCTGGTGTCTTTAATTTCTGCATTTACTTTATGCATATTACCTCAAACTGTTATATCTGCAAGATTGCCATATTTAGTCGACTACTAAAGTTTTAAGTCAACTCAGTAACTATTAATTTCCATTAGTGACAATTCACCCCCCCCCCCTCCTGTACTTTCAAAGAGGTCCTGAAAGATACAGAAATTAGGAAAGAAGCCAACCATACATTTTAGTTCCTTAGTAATCTTTGAAACTGAGAGTAGGTTGAACTTAAAGTCAGGAATATACAGGACATTAGAGATTTCATGGTTGTTCAATACAGAGGCATTTCCTGTGTGTGACACTGATGCCATACTACCAGTAGGTAGTTGTACTTTGTTTTCTTCTGTGTTTGGGAGTGCTTTATAATCATGTAGTATTTCAAGGCTGGAAGTCATATGATTTGATGCCCTAGTGTCAACAATCCACTTGTCATTAACACAATGAGACATAAATGCATTCACTTTGTTTAGAATACCTGCAGCTGTTGACTTGTTTAAAGCTTATGATCCTTCTGTGCTTCCCTTAGATAACAGGTAAACTATTTGCTGATACTGTTCAGGGGTGAAACACAGGAGTAGACAGTGGCATTTGCTGACAGAATGCAGGCTGACTAGCTGGCTGTGTTTGTGAGACACCTGCATTAGACTGACTACCAACTCTACCTTGTTGAACCACATTAGAAGCTACGTTATTTCCCATACCATATCTGTCTGCATAGTTCAGTTCTGGGCTGCACACCTGATTAGCATACTGTCATCCATTAACACCTTTCTTCCTGGACTTGAAATCAGGAGGTTATCCAATCAACTTATAACAGTTTTCCTTGCTATGTCCATTGTAATGACAATATTCACATTGAACTTGATTCCTTTTCTGTTTGTAGCCTCCAGTGTTATTTGTCCCTTTGTTACTATACATGGCTAAATTCTCCAAAGCCTCAGAAACTTGGGCTACTTGTGGCATAGTAGCAAGATTTCTCTTACTTTCCTGATCAACTAACATAGAGTATGCTCTGTTTATACTAGGGAGAGGAGACATCATCATAATTTGGCTTCTTGACTGAGAATAGGACTCATTCAGTCCAGTAAGAAACTGAAGCAGTCTTTGATACTCAAAATATTGTGCATACATCTTTGATTCAGGACAAGGACATCCAGGACATGGCATAAGAGCGTCAAATTCATCCTAAAGTTCTCTTAGTTTTGAGAAATAGTCAATCATAACTCCCTGAACTAAGGTGTGAACTTCTCTATGTAGGTACAGAATTCTGGACCCGTTAACTTTGTCAAATCTCTCCTTTAGATCTTCCCACACTTTATGAGCATTAGATGCATATAAGACACTACTCAATAAACCTGGTCTCACAGCATTCATTATCCATGACAAAACGATAGCATTCACTTTCTCCCACAAATTATGAAGTTCAGGTTCAAACCTAGACTTAAGAAACCTACCATCAACAAAACCTAACTTGCCTTTACCTAATAAGCCAATTCGCATTGCACGACTCCACAAGGCGTAGTTATCAGATCCAGTAAGCTGAAGAGAGATCAGAGAACTACCTGGTGTGTCATTAGGCTGTAGGTACAGAGGATGGTTGTGATCGACAGCAGGAAATGAGGAGCTGGCCACAAAATTGCCATTCTCTGAGGTCGTAGCTGTAGCAGTACGAGTTGGAGTGGTAGAGGCATTGACTTGATCACCTTCAATCGCCATTGGTACTAGAAAATTAGCTTCGAAGAAAGAACAGCTTGCAAAACCCTAGCTTCGATTCTGAGTTACTCTGAGGCAATTCTGCAATTTGAGATGCAAAATTGAAGTAACCTAAGTGAAGAAATTAGTTTGCTCGTTCAAATTAGATCTTATACCGATGGCTCCGATACCATGATAGAAGCCATGGGAGATCAACTGAAGCTAGAAAGAAGTGAGAGATTCAGAGAGGAAATTGAAGAAGAAAGAGCAGAGCTTCTTCATTTCTGAATAATAAACTATACAAGGACTACAATATTTAACTACTAACTACTTAACAAAAGATAACCGCCTCTTTACAAACTAATTATCTAACTAACTCTAGTTAACATGATAATTAGACTTTACTACAGTTAACCATCAGCTTGTGACTTAGCTACTGGTCAACAAAAGCATTCAATTTACAGATAGGGCCCGGAGCTGGAATGTAATGTAAATAACCTATTTTGATGCAAGCAGTAGTAACTGCTTTCACAGCTCAAACCCGTAACTTATATATTAAAATCTCTATTAGTTGAGGCGTTTGGACGTGAATTGGTCAATATTGAAAAAGATTACTATTTGAAGTTAAGTTGAAAGAGAGTATTTGAAAGTAGAAAAATAATCTCTAAATATTATTTCAAATATTTTCAACTTGATCTCTCAGATATATTTAATTAGTGTAGTTGATTCGAAAATTTGAAGAATTTATTGTGTTAATTTAGTTGCTCAAATCATTGCAGTTTTTAAGTTATCCCATGTTAAATTTAAAGGATGTTTTAAGTTTGTCGGAGAGAAGGAGGAAATCATCTTAAAACCCTCAACAAAATGAGTAACTAAAGAATTGGGCCTTTCGGGAAAGAAGAGTTGGGCCCTTCTTGAGTGGGCGAGCCCACAGTTTTATTGGACTATATATAACAACGACAACGACGACGCGGTAAATTGGACTATATATACATGTGCATAAAAGGGATATTTACATTAATAGCCAGTCCGCTTTACTCTTTACTTTTTCAATCTATTATTCATTGATTGTATTTGATTATACACATATTACAAATAAATTATACATATACTATATATTTGACTATTTTTAATTTAAGCAGTTGAGTTGGCGCTATTTAAGGTAATTATTCTGCATAAAAATGTGGATATAATCGAAAATGTTAAAAGTGTAAATGGCCCTATCAATGTTTTTTTACATATATATATGTGCTGATTTATGCAAATATTTATTTTGAGAAAATCTCACTTTATACCCATTAATTCCAAATTATTTACCCTTTAATGCCCAGGCTCAAATTATTTACTTCTCTTACCCATGCGGCCCAAACTATTTACCCGGCTCATGCATTAGCTTATTCCCCTCATTTAATGCCTCAGTTAACGCTATTTCACCCAGCCATTTCTTTCATTTCAAAATCCCATCGCCAAACCATGAGAAATCATATTTTACACAGCAGTTACTGATTTGACTTGTGAATTTTTCTTCAGATTTTGTTTCTATCTTCAATATTATTGTACATGAGTTTCACTCTAAAATCCTCTTTCTATATTAGTATTTATTTATTTATTTATTTACTTATTTGTATCTCTGAACGCATGTGTTGTTGCAGTTATATATTAAGTTTCCCAGCTCTGATTTTTGTGTGTATATGAATATCCACCATTTTGAAGATTTATTGTTTGATTCGATTTTGGTGCTATAAAATATTGATTATAGTACCTTCAAGTAAGCTTCTCGGATCTGAATTTTTATGTGTATTTGAATATTCACCATTGTTGGGCTTGAAGCTCTTGAATTTAAAATTTTTATTTTGAAGATTTCTTGTTTGATTCAAAGTGGGTGCTGTTAAATATTGCTTATAGTACCTTCTGGAAGTTCATACTGAAATTTAATAGCATTTGGAGCTGATTTGAGGCGATTGAGATCGAAATTTCCAGCTGAAAATCGAAGAAGAACACAACTACCCAATAGTATACCGCTACGGTATACAATATGCTATAGGAGTACATAGCTATACTGCATCAGTATACTATTATAGTTTACAATATACTGCAACGGTATATTGTAATAATCGAAGAAGAACACAGTTACCTAACAGTATACCGCTACAGTATACAATGTACTATAGGAGTATATAGTTATACTGCAACAGTATACTATAATATACAATATATTATTATAGTATACTGCAATAATATGCAATATACTGTAACAATATGGTGTTATAGTATACAATATACCATAATAGTACACTTATTATCTGTAAATTCACATGTCTTTTCCCTTTTAATTTGCTTTAAGCTTTTACGCATCATGAGGGGCAAATTGAAAATGTAAATCTTTTTGTCGTTTTGATTTATTCTATCACTTGAATTCCAAAACTTTCGACTTCTACAAAGCATTAATCTGCCATTGGAGGACCTTGAAGTTTTGAAATTCATAAATTGGGTTTGTTGAGTTTGTGGTTATTTTGAAACTCAAAACAAGAAAAAAAAATTTAACTCTTTGCGTACCATTATATACCCTGTTGGTATAGCTATATACTATACTGGTATCATGTGTTAGTTAATATTTTTTGGTTTTATTAGCTACATTTGATTGGTACACAATTCGATTTTTCTTTAGTAACAGTATAAAAAACGAGTAATAAAAAATAGTGAAAATAATAAACGAAATTAGATTATGAAGAGAAAAACAATATTAAAAAAAGAAGTTCATGAAATTAGAAAAGGGAAAAAGAAAAAAATAAGAACAAAACGAGAAAAAAGAAGAAGCATAGAAATAAAAAAGAATTGGAGAATAAAGAAAAAATTTCCCACAAAAACTACTACGGGTAGGAAATGTAATTAGTTTGATGGGTAGAAAAATAAAAGGATAGACAAGGGTAAATAGTTTTATTTCTATGGGTAACTGTGTCATTCTCCCTTCTTTTTTAGGCCACTAATTAAATATGTCCCTATTTTGGAGATCATGCACATATAGCCCTTAAAAAATTAGGAAATCTTACATAAATATTCCAAAAAAGTCCCAATTTACCAACCTCTACCCACTAATCATAGACTTACCAACACTAGGCAAGCACATATAAAAATTGAAAACCTAAATAAATAAGGTTCTTTCTCTCTAAGAATCACATACAAAGATGTCCTTCCATATTTTTAAGCGTTCTTAGCAACATTAGATGCAAGACGAAAAGAAATTTCATGAATGGGGTAGCAAATAAAGTGATGAAATATATATACACACACACAAGATTCAAAAAATCTAAGCAAAAAATGACCTTTTTCAATGGGTATGGTTGAGATTCATTGAAAACATATAGATGAGTAAATATACTGTGATGACCCAAAATGTCATCTCGTATTTTAGAACCCAATTCGGGGTTCCAAGGCCTCCAAGACCTAATTTTCCTTCTCCTCGATTTGCATGCGCAGTCCGGGCGCGTTTCCGGAAAGCCTTTATGTGAAAATTTGAGAAAATATTAAGTATTGCCTTTAAAATTAAATTAAGTTGACCTCGGTCAACATTTTGAGTAAACGGACCGGTACTCGTGATTTGCGATCCCGGAGGGTCCGTGGAAAAATATGGGACATGGGCGTATGCCCGAAATTGAATTCCAAGGTCCCTAGCCCGAAATGAATTTTTGAAGAAAATTATTAAACTAAAAATATAATGGTTTTTAGAAATTTAATAATGTTTGATCTTGTTGGTATTGCGTATTTTGGTTTCAGAGCCCGGTACAAGTTTAATATGGTATTTAAGTCATGTCTGTGAAATTTGGTGAGAAACGGAGTTTATTTGACGTGATTCGGACGTCCGGTTGTAAAAATAGAAACTTTAAGTGTTCTTGAGAATTTCATTGATTTTAATGCTAAATTCATAGTTATAGGTGTTATTTTGGCGATTTGATCTCACGAGCAAGTTCGTATGATGTGTTAAGACTTGTGTGCATATTTGGTTTGGAGCCCCGAGGGCTCGGGTGAGTTTCGGATAGGCTACGAGATGTTTTAGACTTGAAAATTCTGGTGTTTTTGGCTTCTGCTGTCATCTAGTATATCCTTCTTCGCGTTCGCGAAGTGACTCTCGCGAACGCGAAGAGTAGGTTGGTCTGAAGGAGAAATCCTTCTACGCGAACGCGAAGCACTAGTCGCGAACGCGGAGCTTTGGGGGCAATACCCTTCGCGAACGCGACCGGGCTATCGCAAACGCGAAGCATGGGAACTGGGCCAGGGGATTGATACTCTATGCGAACGCGTAGGGTGTCTCGTGAACGCGAAGTTTGGGGGGGATATACCTTAGCAAACGCGTAGGGTGTCTTGCGAACGCGAAGGTTACTAGGACCGCAGCTTCGCGAAGGCGACAGACCTCTCGCGAACGCGAATAAGGTCTATCCAGTATTTTAAAAACAGAACTCAAGACGGAATTAGACCAAAATTTCATATTTTCTTCCATAGAACTCGACCTTGGGCGATTTTTGAAGTGGGGATTCAACACCAAATCATAGGTTCATGTTCTAAAACTCATTTCTTTCAGTTTCCATCAACACCCATTAGATTTCTAGGCCTAAATCTTGTTCTTTAAGGGTAGAAATTAGGGATTTTGGGAGAATTGGGGATTTTACAAATTTGGGAATTTAGACCTCGATTTGGGGTCGGATTCCGAAACTAATTACATATTTGGGCTAGTGAATGAATGGGTAATCGGGTTTTGGTCCGAACTTTGAGTTTTGACCAAGCGGGCCCGGGGTCGATTTTTGACTTTTTGGGAAAAATGTTGGGAAATCTATAATTATGTATTATAATTGGTTTCTTTGGCATTAATTGATATTATTAAGTTAGTTACGATTAGATACGAGCGGATTGGAAGTGGAAACTAAGGGAAAATCGGTATTTGAGGCTTGAGTTTGGCCGTGGAACCGAGGTCAGTGTTGTGGCTAACCTTAGCTTGAGGGATTAGGTATTGTTGCCTTATTTGCTACATG